ATAAATAGTATTAGTTTTCTGTTGGGAATTTGGAGACACACAAAGGTCAAGGGACATTTTCAAAGCCCATAGTAAGAGAACTCACCTATTCAGTAAATACTGCAAATAGCACATGAAGTTCCAGTCATTCTGGATTATGCCATGAAAATTAAGCCATCAATTTGATCAAAACTCTAGGATCAAACATATACAAATAAAAATGAAAGTCTATTTTCTTCTTCTCCTAGGTTCTCTGCATCAGAAATCCAGGTACAGATCTGGGTGTGGTGCTGCATGCCTGTCGTCCTAGCAATCAGGAGGCTGAGTCAGACAGATCATTGCAAGTTCAAAGCAAGCTTGGCCTACAAAAAGACTGCCTGGTAATTTTCTACATTTGTTTCCAAATTTAGCTTTAGAAAATGATCACCTACATCAAATTTGATGGCACACATCTATAATCCCAGCACCATGGGAGACTAAGACAGGAGGATTACAAATTTGAGCCCAGTCTGGGCAGATCAGCAATTTAGCAAGAATTCACCTCAAATTTAAAAAGGGATAGGGAGTATACCTCAGTTTGAAGTCCCTGGGTTCAAGTCTCAGTCCCAAAAAATAAAACCCTGCATTATTCTAAGTAGGGAGTTCTTCTGCATACATATTTTTAAGTAGCTCCAAAGTGCAAATTTACAACTATTGATCTAGTGGAAGAGACAGAAATTACATAAATTATCTATTGCTTTCTAGTACATTAGAACAAAATTTAGCATGAGGCTTGCTGGTGTTCTTCTGTAATTCCCACTATTTGGGAGGTTACTTTAGGATGATTGCAAATTCACAAATATGCGACAGCCTGGGCAACATAGTGAGACCCTATCTTGAATAAAATAAAAAGGATGGGGATGAAGCTCACTGGTGAAGCACTTGCCTAGCCTGCATGAGGCTCTGGGTCTAATCTCCAGGCCTGAAAAGAAACACTTACTAGCTTTATGTAAGAATCATTTATTGTCTCCTAGGTTCTCCGCATCAGAAATCCAAGTACAGGTCTGGGTGTGGTGCTGCATGCCTGTCCTCCTAGCACTCAGGAGGCTGAGTCAGGCAGATCATTGCAAGTTCAAAGCAAGCTTGGGCTACATACACAGTGAGTTCAAGACTAGCGGGAATCACATAGCAACATCCTGCCTCAAAAAAACAAATATAAATAAAATAAAATACAAAGTCAAATTAAATCATTAGGTTTAATCTACTTTTAGGGTGAGAGGTTCACACAAGGATGAGTTTATCAGGAGGCAGAGCTCATCTGGATCACTTTAAGGCTATCACAAGATATAAACAAAGAATTATAAATCAAGGAAGTAATATAACTACTGATTCTATTTTAAATCAAAGACAATGAGCATAGTTACTGTCTAGGTCTTGGTATCTAAATATCATTCCTAGGAGAAATGACTGATTCAAGGGCTGGAACAGTAAATATATAAGATGATCTTGGAGATTTTGAAGTTCTAGAAAGGAGGTTTTAAAAACCCAGAAAAAGAGACCCATAGGCCAGTATAAGAGCTCCTACCAGTCTAAATTGGAACAATTTGAGGAACAAAATAAAAATCATGGTATAAATTAAAACAAAACATCAAGTAAATATATATGAATAAATATAAATGAATAGGGAGGAGAGACATTTTTCCTTAAAGAACAATTCCAATTAATGTATGCAGATATTTCTATGCAGGACTTGAAACTTAATATTTTACTTTCCTAGAGATTGGAAAGAATTTAGTGACTCATTCCTCCAAGAAGAGATTTTGAAAAGGAGGAAAAAATGTGATTTTTCCATGGAGAAACTATTAAACACTACCATGGTCAAATAATCAAAGTTAAATCATTAGTAATAAATTATGTTGATATCATAAAGATATTGAATTGTGTATTCTCTTTAAACCTTATTTCCAGAGTTTAATTTTATGAGAAAAACATCAGATAGATTCAAAGTCACGGGATATTTTACCTAATACCTAACCAGATGGACTCCAAACTATCGAGGTTACATCAAGGTCATGAAAATAAGAAAAAACTAAGGTAAACTTTCACAGATCAGAGACTAATGAGATATGTTGACTGAATGCAACAGGCATCTTGGATTGTGTCCTAGAACAGAAAACAGGAGATAGTAAAAACCACATAAAGTTTGCAATATAATCAATGGTAATCTACCAGTGCTTGTTGCTTGGTTTTGTAGATATACACAGTAATGTAAGAAGTTAAGATATCTTAGTTACTTTTCTTATGGCCAAGACAAAATACCCAACATCCAGAAATTAAAGAAGTGTATTTAGCTCACAGTTTGTAGAGGTTTCAGTCCATAATTGGCTCATTCTAAAACAATGTGGTGTGGCAGAGGGGCATCACAGAAGAGAAATAGTTCATGGCAAGCAGAAGGTAACAAAACGAGCAAGGGGCGACCACAGCTCTTTCTATTCCTTATGTCTTATCCAGACACCCTAAGATGGGTAGCACTCAAACCCTTACTCCTAGCACCTTTGAGACTAGCATTGCACCATGAATCAATTCTAGCATCACATACACTCTAGATCCAGCCCAGAAAAAGCCCTATCTATGATCATATGAGACTTTGGGGGGAACATCTAGATATAAGCCATAACAAGGAGAAACTGGCTAAGGGATATGTGGGAATTTTCTGTGCTCTTGCAACTCTTCTGCAAATCTAAACTTATTCTAAAGTAAATTTTATTAAAAACAAAAAGCAAATCTTGTTACTTTTTAAAAATTATTATTATTATCATTGGTTTATTGAGACATGGTCTCACTGCAAAGTGTAGGCTGGTCTTGAACTTACTCTGTAGCCCAGGCTGGCCTCAAACTTGCAGTCATCCTCCTGTCTCAGCATCCTGAATGCTGGGGTTACAGGCATGAGGCACCACGCCTGGCTCTTGCCACAATTTTCAAAGTGTGGTGACTGGATGATTTCTCCTTGGATTAGCTTTGGGCTCAGCACCTATCAAACCCTAGTTGTCCTCCACTAGCCACATACTTCTAGCATCAGGTGCCATGAGAAATGTTAATAGGCCCTTTGTGTCACAGCATTAAAGTAGCATACCACTTGGTTAGGTAAATTCCTAGAAGTCATCCTTATCATCTGAAGACCCAAAAATAACCTATCACAAAGCAGCCCAAATTCAATTCTTTTTATCTTACCCAGATCTCAAAAATGTCCAGATCCATTCCAGGGAACCTAGAGTGAAGTATGAAGGAAGAGAAGCGGGAAAGTAAAAAAACAAAACAAAAACAAAACAACTTAACCAATCTCCCTTTGAGGGGTGCTTTCAGACATTTTCCTGTTAAAATATAGAATATAACATCTGACCCTATGAACTCAGGGCTTGGTCTATCCTTGGGCCTTAGAAAGTGTTGGTGCAAGTTTTGGGTTCTGAAGTACAAGTTTTAGTTCAGCAGCCAATTCATCCTAACATAGCTCAGAAGAACAAACAAGTGACCTGTGCCAGAAATGCCACTATCTGTTGTTTCCAGCCTTTCAACTCAGAAGCTCTTGATCTTTCATGAAGCTTAGATTAGGTACTTACCCTTACCAAATTGTTCCCTGAGCCACTCTGCAGGATTGGGTGTATCTTCTAGGTCCATCCCTAGTTCCATGGGTTAAATTTGAGGTTTTTTTTTTTTTTTTTTTGTCTTTTTCCTTTTTATGGGTACCAGGGATTGAACTCACGACTGCCTGCTTGCAAGGCAGGTGCTTATGCCGCTGAGCTAAATCCCCAGCCCCTAAATTTGAGTTTCTATCATTCTCTTACCCTTAGGCTCACTCAGCATGTGGTTCAAAACTTAAAAAAAAAATCTTTGTGCTGTCATAGTAGGCCCTCAAGAAGCCCTTGTTGAGTAAATGAATTAAGGCTCTTGGTGGGAGGAGGGAAACCCTAGGTAGGAAAAGCCTGGCCTACCTGGGGCAAGAACATCAAGCCCCAGGTACCTGTCTGCTCAGCAACCTCTGGGATCAACTGCAATGGGAGGTAAGAGAGACTGCCAATCAGTAATAACTTCCTGAAAGGACAAGAAGAATAGAGGCAGGTATAGAGGAGCATGTTTGTAATTATTCCAGCTTCTCCAAGGTGGGTGGATGAAGAATTTGAGGTCAGCCTGGACAAAATAGCTACAGTAGTCTCCAAAAAGAAACATAAAAAGAAATATTGATGGGTCTCACCTCCTACATATTAATATTTCATCACTCTTACACACATTATCATGCTGAATCTGGCTAACTACATGAAATGCTCATATTTTCACAAATTATTTGAAATTTAGACTACCAACTCAAATATTGTAAAACGTATATGTCCCAATGAATCAGACTAAATGCTAGAAATAGACAGGAAAGTAAACATTTTTTTAAAAATAGAAACCTTTATTTAGATGGACTTTATTTAGAAGTCAGCAAAGCAGCCACAGCTCACTACCCCATCTCACAAGTATTCTATGTGGTTTCAATTCTTTGCAGTGCTTAGAATGATTTAAACTTTTAAAAAATAATACTTAATGTGCACATGATTGAAACTGAATTCATTCTTAATAGTCAATTCCTGAGGTTTTAAATACTATTCCCCGAATGACATCTCCATCTTATTTAAAATTCCACATATTGGAAAGAGAGAAAGGAGGGAAGAATAAGGAAAACACCCTGCTTGTTTGTCTTGGAGTTGAAATCAATTTAAGTAACTTCTTCATCCGCTCTGATCAATTTTGTACTCCTAAACAGAAGCGATTCCGGATGTGAGGTACGTATCTGCCCTCAAGTCCCCACAATTTGTGACGAAAAGGGCTTAACATATCTTTCTTCTACACTCGCGGCTACATACACCAAGAGCACAAGGTTTACACACAAAAAACGAGCCCTAGCTGAGTAGTCATAACAAACTCAAATCCACACGAAAACGCACGCCCCTGGTGGGGGGGGGGGACGCATGCGCACAAGGACGGCGAAAGGCGGCTTCGGGCGCTCCGGTCAATCTCTACGCCTTCCGCCAGCGGCTTCTCTGAGCCCGCCTCCGAACCGGAGCATATAACTAATTGGTCAGTGTGGTCCGGGCTCGGGGCGGGGATTGGCTGACTGGCGGCAACGTTCTGGGACAGCCAATCTGGAAACCCGAGTCGCTGGAGAAGCTGCTGGCTGCCGCGCGGCGGTGGTAAGTGGGGCTGTTGACTGGAAAAAGTTGGGGAAACAAAGTGGTGTGGGGTTTGCCTGTGGCAGGATGTCGTGGTAACAGAACAGCAGCGAAAGGGGCCTGGTTGGGAATGCTAGAGGGCGGCGGGGTCCTTGTGCCGGCGCGGCGTCTGCGCTACCGGCTGAAGGCAGCTGGTGGCGGAGGGCCCAGAGCCCCGTGAGTCGGCGGAGCGGTGCGAGGTCGGGTGTCTGGCCGCAGGCCTGGGACTCGCTCACCACTCCTAGCCTCCTCCCGTACCCGCTTGTATCTATCCCAGACTTTGGGACTGTGTTGGGAGCCCTAGTTTGCGCGCCGTCCACCAGGCAGAGGATCCCTGGAGTGCTAGGCCCCGTCTCAGCTTGGCGGCTGCGCATCTCCTCTCCCAAGTCGGCGTCCCCTGGCCGGTGTCGCGGTGTCACTGTTTGTCCTCCCTCCTGTGTATCTTCCTGACCATGCCCAGTTGGCATCAGTCCCCGAAGAGAAGGCCAGCCTTTGGGAGTTTAAAGTCCTCTTTTGAAATACTGGCACTCTAGATATTATAGAGAAGTTGAGCGAATGAGACCGAGAACTCTAAATGTGTATTCCATGCACCGTTTCAGTGATTAGCAATTTATGGCTCGTCTTGGTCCCTTTTCTGAGTTATTTTGAAGTAAACCCCGGACGTATTTCATCACTTTCATATATTATACACCTTTGTCATGATCAGTAAGAATACTTTTTTCCTAATTATTTGCATCTTAAAAAAGAAGTTAAGAGAGAAGGCTCATCAAGTTGTAAACACCGACACTACTAATTTAGTTTATATTACAAGTGCGTATTGCGACTTTTACTATCTTGTGCTCATTTTTAAAAAGTAAAAAAAAAAATAAAGGTACTGACCTGGTGTGGTGTAATTCCAGCACTCTAGAGACTGAGACAGGAGGATCTCCCACAGTTTGAGACCAGCCTGGGCTACATAGTGAGACCCTGCCTCAAAAAATAAAAACTAAGCAAAAGAGTACCAAAATAAGTATTGTATTAAGCTTTTGAGCATTAATAATTGGTAATTTGTTTGTAGAGTTCTTTTGTACGAAGCACCGTAAAATTGTTTCCACCTTTTAATTATTATGACAGCTCTGTGAAGCATGAGCTATTCTCATTTCACCACTGCAGGGGGCGGGGGAACATTTATAGAGGTCACACAATTTTGCTTGAAGTTACAGTGCTGAAAGAAGTGAGGACTGGAATTCAAGACCCTAATCTTGACTGCGCTCTCATTGCAGAATATTTGCTCTTTTACACTTAATACTTTAAAGATTTTAGTAGCAAACTTCGTGTAAAATTATCTCTCTGGTCACAAATTCATAATTTGAAAGAAAAATAACCTGAACTGTACATGAGTACAAAATAATAAAGGTGTTTTTGTTACTTCGAAATAGTGAAAGATTAACACAATCTGAATTTGAAGTTTTGAGCAAAGTGTGTCAATGTAGTTCAAAAAATACTAAAATTTTTGTTTAACATAGGTAAAAGGGAAAGAGAAGTGTGTGTGTGTGTGTGTGTGTGTGTGCGCGCGTGTAGTCTATCTTCCATTAGCATTTGGTATATACTGAATATTTATAGTGAATATTTCACCTATATCCCTCATTTTCCCAGTAGTACACTATTCCATGATATCTTCATCCAAATAATGTTAGAGGAATAAGATTCTAGAGAGAGAGAAATAGGTTGTTTACAGGACAGCAGAGAAGACCTTCAGGATTCCTCCCGTGCAAAAGTGATTCAGAAGCCTAAAAGCAAGTTTAGAGTTATTGTGAAGGAACTTGAGTGCCAGATGTAAGAAGGTTGAACTTCATGAGGAAAGAAGGCCTCTGTCCATCTGGTAGGAAACCAGTAAAATGGCACTGTCAATTCATCTGAGTTATGAAAGGATTAGTAGGTTGACCTGATAAATATAAAGGAAATAAACATGGGAAACTGGTGAAATAATGAATATAAGAAAGAGAATGGAGAAAGAAGATAGTATGAAAAAGAGAAAAAAAGTATGAAACAGTTGGTTAAGTGTTGATAACAGTTGGTTAAATGTTAATTTTCCATGGGTTTGTTTTCCTGTGAGGTCTTATTGTCTCACTGCTCTTTGATATATTAGTTACCATTCACCTATTCAACTAAAATTTTTTTGATTGATATATTTTAGATATACATAATCATAACATTATCATAGGAAATTCTTGTACATGATATGCTGTTTTGCTGTCTCACTACTTTTTGATATGTTGTTAATCTATTAAGCTTTAAAAATATTTTTATTATGTATTATTGATAGAAGTTGCATAGTTTATACAAACAAATCACTGTAATCCTACCATTGAAAAATGCCCTGCTAATGATAGTTTACTGTATAGCCTAAAGTAGTGTGAGGCTTTATTTTGTATAGATTGAGAGTGATAAGTACTATTTATTTGTTTAGTGATTCTGGGGATTGAGCCAGGGGCCTTTGCACTGAGCTACATCCCCAGCCTTTTTTAATTTTTATTTTGAGACAGGATCTTCCAAGTTACCCAGGCTGGGCTTGAACTTGGTATTCTTCTGGGAATTTATTATTACCAATAAATTGTATAAATATTTGATAGCATTTAACATTAAATTGTACAACTGGATTTGACTCGTGGTTAAAATGTTAAAAGTCAAATAGGAAATTTAACTCTTCACAGCTAAAAAACATTGTAACACATTCTTTAACATGTAAACATTAAAATATGACAATTTAAAAAAATATGACAATATTAACAAGCTATTTTAAACTTTGCTCTTTTTTTCCCACTACTGGGGATTGAACCCAAGTCTTTTCACTCATCTCTACCCTCACCTTTTTATTATTTGATTTTTGAGATGGCATCACACTAACTTGTCCAGGCTGAATGAAACTTGCAGTCCTCATGCCTTAGCCTCCATATAAGTGCTGGTATTAAAAGTATGCATCACCACACTCAGTGTACTAGTTACTTTTCAAAATTGATTTTTTGTATATTAGTAGATTCTGTTACAGTATGTAATGGGTACTAGCCATAAAGAGATTGGTTTCCTGAAAGAGGTAAGTAGAATCATTTTGTTTTTATTTAGTCAACTGCCCGCCCCCCCTCCCTTTTAATCCCATCTACTTGGGCTCAGGTAATGTAGAAAGTTTTTTTGACAGAGTATTAACACACATGGTCTGGAGTCCAGCTGTTAATGGAGTTCTTGTTCTCAGCTGAAACCTCCTGGGCCAAGCCTTTAGTGTCTGATTTCTATCAGCATTTTGACTAGTGTTGCTTTGACTGGAGTCTCCCATTAAACATGGCTGACAACATTCTAGATTTTCTTTAGCCAGCATTTCTAAGCCTTTCCAAACTTCTCCCATACACCAGTTCCAAAGGCTTCTGTCCACATGGTTAAGTATACTCAAAGCAGCGACCTGACTTGTTTGGTATCATAAACTGTCTGTTACTTTTGTCGCTGTAACAAAATACCTAGCACCCACAATTTAAAGGAGAGCTTTGTTTTGGTCATGGTTTTTAGAAGATTAACTCCACAGCGAGCTGACTTCAAAGTAGAAAGAACATTATGGAAGGACCTGCAGGAGGAAAGCTGCTCATATCATGGCAGCCAGGAAACAGAGTGGGGAGGAGCTGGGAGGGAGATACATCCCTGGAAGAGGGTATGACCAGTTACTATCCTCTTTTAACCAGGCCCAGCCTAACAGCATGGAAGCTACAGTGTCCCCATGATTCAGTTGTCTTTTAAAGTCTTACCTCTGAACACTTGAGTCTTCGGGGGAACATTCTAGATCTAAACCATAACCCTTTGTTTTAATTGTAGACTTTTTATGTGTTAGTGCAAATCAAATACGGGGCCTCATGAATGTACTGTTACTGAGTTACCTCCCTGGTCTGTCCGTGTGTGTGTGTCTCTGTTTAAATAGAATCACATATCAATGTTAGTTTAGAGCTTTTTTCATTCATCGTTTTATTAGGAAAAGCCTTTTATGCATAGCTATTTTTTACATAAAATATGTAAGTTATCCTTAAACTGTTACCATTTCTTTACAGACTCTTCTAGTTCTTTATAAAATATATGTTCTTAAACATTTATTATTTCTTTGTTTCCTTTTTTATTTTAATCATAAACTTTTTGGGTACATTTTGGATATGTATATAATCATATTCATCATAGGAAATGTTGTATCATCATGGACATATCTTGCTTTTTCTTTTTCTCCCATTCTCTCTTCCCTTCAACTCTTCTTCCCCTCCTTATTTATAAAAGCTTTGTTTAATTTTTCCTTTTCTTTTTTCCTCACCTCTCCCTTGTTCCTCTTCCCATTTGAACATTTGCTTTCCATTTCCCAATATCTATTCCACATTTTGTTTCTTATTTACACTTTTTTTTTCATACACAAGAGAAACTGCAGTTTTGAAGCATGTGTCCGTTTTATTTCACTTTAGAGTACAGTGACCATAAACTTAGAATGGGTACATTGGATTTACTTTAACTACTTCCCCATCGATGTTCATTGAGATTGCCTCAGATTTTTCTCTTTTACAATATTTTTTTTTTGTCTTTTTCCTTTTTATCGGTACCAGGGATCGAACTCATGACTGCCTGCTTGCAAGGCAGGCGCTTATGCTGCTGAGCTAAATCCCCAGCCCTGTATCCTTACCATATTTTTAAAAATTGAGCTTAAGTGCTTTTTATAAAGATAAGAGTTTACTAAGTTTTCACATCACTAACACTCATGTGCAAGAGAAAGTAATTGTTTTCTTAAGTTTTTAATTAGTACATGTTTGCAGTACTTAATGATTATATTCAAGGTACAGTAATTCTCACGCAATCCAGGGGACAGTAATTATCACACATTGCATCGCAGTCACCTATAAGTCACTTTTCATCATGTCCTTAGACCTGTAGGCAGCACTTTTAGTGAAAAAATATTATTGACTTCTAAGTAGTTTGTTTATATCTAT